GACGTCTCAATAGTGGAGACGACGACGATGATGATGACAACAATAATGACGATTGAGTTTTGTTTGACGAGAAGATAACATTTTCTTCTTATTTTTATTTTATTTTATGTATTTATTTTTAATAAAACATAAGGATCTAGTGATTGGACAATTTGCATTTAAAAATTGACAGAGATGGACCGAGTTTGCTAATTTCTCAAAGGTTGGGCCATAAACTTGAGGAAACATTGGAGACAGAATTTGGACTTTGGCTAAACATTGGGAAGAATTTTGTAATTTACCTTACAGTGTACTTGAAAATAATCCAATATACGAACTACGAAGTACCAAACTCCACATATCTACGCCCAGCCGCCCCCGGTACGCTCCTTCTCTCTCAGTATATCAGAATCTCCACCATTTTCCTCGTCATCTCTTTCATCCCACGAAACCCGTTGATGATTATCCACCTATATAAGTATCCACATACGAAGATTCATACCTTATAGTGGTATGTAAAGATGGGTTCTATGAGGTTAGATCTGAGCAAAAAAAATCACCTAGAAAAGATCGATCACTTCGATAGGCTGCCTGATTCTCTTCTACTCTTGATCTTCAACAATATTGGTGATATCAAGGCGTTGGGTCGATGCTGCGTCGTTTCTAGGCGCTTCCACTCCCTTGTTCCCTTGGTCGACAGCGTCGTCGTTCGCTTTGATTGCGTAATTTCCGATGATTGTTCTTCTTCCGCTGCCACTGCCGCAGCCGCTCCAGGCAGGTCCCGCCATCCCGTGTCCTCGTTTTTCCAGGACTTGTTTTCGGGCCTGTTCAAACCATTCCAGCCCCTCACCCAGCTTGTTACTACATCTCGTCCACGTTCTTCCAATGCTGGAGGTTTGGACCATGGTTTTGATCAGAATAGCCTGCTGAACCACCATTCCCCTACTCAAATCTTGAAATTTTTTAAGGAAATCAGGTGCCTCAGAATAGAATTATCTAATGGGGAGCTTGGGATTGACAACGGTGTTTTGATTAAGTGGAAGGCAGAATTTGGGTCAACGCTAGATAATTGTGTCATTCTTGGAGCTTCTTCTGTCATTCCGGCTGCAAACAGTGCGTGTTCCAGTGCTGGCAATGTTAATAATGATAATGCAGCTGAGAACGATGATGGGAGCATACCCGAATCATTTTACACGAATGGAGGATTGAAATTACGTATTGTGTGGACAATAAGCTCTTTGATTTCAGCCTCAGCAAGACATTACCTGCTGCAGCCAATAATAGCAGAGCACAAGAAGTTGGACAATTTGGTTTTGACTGATGCCGATGGGCAGGGGGTGTTGTCGATGAATAAGGAGCAATTGGAGGAGCTGAGGGTGAAGCCTTTGTCAGCCTCCTCCGCTTCTAAGAGGACTTTGGTTCCATCTCTCAAGATGCGGCTGTGGTACGCCTCTCTTCTGGAATTACCCAATGGGATGGTCTTGAAAGGGGCGACATTGGTTGCAATCAGGCCCAGTGAACAGCCAAAGGAGGTGATGGGTTCAGAAGGAAAATGGGTTGCCTCAAAACTTGAGGAGCCGTTCGGGACCGCAGCGAGGATGTTGATGAAAAGGAGGACTTATTGTCTGGAAATGAACTCATTCTAAGATAGGCTTCGCTCAAGGGTTGGATCATGAATGTTTTAGGTAATGCTTGCAAGACTTTGCGCAAAAAGTTCCGTATAATTGTTGCCTATAATGTGTATTCACAAGTATGCTTTGATGGTTACTCTTTTCAATTACTAATTTTTATGAAGAGAGAGGAGTTTATGTGCCTGTGTCCCTGAAATTATGTGTCTAATTTAGCCTGATCAATCCTGTTCTTTTAGGTACCTGGGCACAATCTTGACTTAGGTTTGCCTTTCTGCTGTCAAAAAATTTGATTCTTCTGCTTATTATGATATATATTTGATGATCGGATCTTCCTTGTTATTTGGCTTTTGCAAATAGACTATATGAGTATTCATTATTAAAAATTTTGTTACGAAGCTAACACCCTACGTTTGGTTGTACTATCATTTTCTTGTTTATATTGTAAATAGTTATAATTATGGTAAACTCATCACCTTGTGTGGTGGGACTTAATGAAAAATGCTATTTCATCTTTTCTCTGAAAGATAAAAGGGGAATTCACATTTTTTATTAATGATGATGTAATTTTTGTTTATTTAGGCAAATATATGACAAGATATAGTACTTCATGGTAACAAATTGCTGCGACTCGTAACTTTTAAGTCTTGACAATTGTTGTTTTATTTAAAACTAGATTTCTCGACAAATTTTGAATATGCTTTCTTTTGTTCAAATAAACCTCATAAACTAGTTTTGGAACAATTGATTGCCCAGTAAGTTGAATCCCTATATGTTATGTCCTGGCTTTTCTTTTATTATTATTTTTGGTCTATGTTTAAATTATTGTGTGAAATACGTCCATGCACGTATGTGCTAATGGAAGATTTATTGTAAACCTTGGTATTTTCTTTTGCATTTTCTGTACACACTAATATTTACGATACAGTCTTCTTTCTCTCATTGTACTTTGTATCACAAGCATTTCCCTTTTATTTTCTGAAAGAATCTTTTTGTTCATTTGGTCATTATTAAATTCCTTCTCTTTAGTGCGGTAATGGATCTTTCTGGAATGAACTCCTTTTGGCTTGATTATGATCCATAAATTTATCCTTCTTTTGCTGAACTGATGGATCATATGCATATGCTGATGTTTTGGTTTTAGGCATATGCTTTTAAAGGTGAACAAATTGCTTCTGAAATACTCGTGCTTATGACTTTTTAGTTATTGATATTTTGTACTTCTCTGACTATTCATATTGTAGGATGGTAATAGCCTATATCCTGTAATGTCATAGGTTAGTTGAGCAAAACATTATGCATTTGAACTNTCTCTGACTATGCATATTGTAGGATGGGAATAGCCTATATCATGTAATGTCATAGGTTAGTTGAGCAAAACATTATGCATTTGAACTGCATTAAACCTAAACTCTGTGTTTGTTATTATATCATATTGAACACCTCGTCTAAAATATTAGATAGATACATGTTCATGTCTTTACAGTATTTCAATTGTTGACCATAAAAACAAATATCAAGTGAATATTGGCTTGTAAATTTCTTAAAGCCAAATAATGCCTGCATCATCCATCAAATATCCAAAAGTAGGTGAACATACAGCAACTGCAATGTCATTTAGACTGGAGTCAAATACCTGAATTCATTGCAATCTAGATGCATTCTATTTAAGCAACAATAAATGACATGCACCAGATAGCCTACACAAATACTGTGCAATCATTATATAGCCCCTGTTTGACACCCATTTTGAAGAAAAAATAAATTCTGGAATAGTGATTGATGGAAGAATGTGTGGTTAAAAAGTAATGGAAATTTTTGGGTTTGTGTAGTATTATTTTATTGATAGAATGTGTGGTTGAAATGAAGAAAGAGAAAAAGAAATGAGAATGAGAATGAGAAAAGATGGGTGTCAAACGGGGGCATAAACAGCAATTCCATTGGTTCTTTTGTAGTTGTATTGGATGCTAGATGTTGTCTCATTTATTTCCATCAATGCCTTCATGCGTTGATGAAGGGCACAGATCCAGAGAAGTTTGTTTTGAATTTTAGGCTACTGAACTTGAGGAATAAGGCCCACTATTTACATGCAGTATGTGACAGTGGTCTCCATGTTTCTTATTGAGTTTTTTTATTAGTATAAATTTTCTTGCTACGGTTTCCTTTAATTGAAAGTTTCAATCAAAAATGTGAACTGGGCTTAAGCTGGAAAAGCTCACTACTCTTTACGTGATTTATTNTCTCTGACTATGCATATTGTAGGATAGGAATATCCTATATCATGTAATGTCATAGGTTAGTTGAGCAAAACATTGTGCATTTGAACTGCATTAAACCTAAACTCTGTGTTTGTTATTATATCATATTGAACACCTGGTCTAAAATATTAGATAGATACATGTTCATGTCTTTACAGTATTTCAATTGTTGACCATAAAAACAAATATCAAATGAATATTGGCTTGTAAATTTCTTAAAGCCAAATAATGACTGCATCATCCATCAAATATCCAAAAGTAGGTGAACATACAGCAACTGCAATGTCATTTAGACTGGAGTCAAATACCTGAATTCATTGCAATCTAGATGCATTCTATTTAAGCAACAATAAATGACATTCACCAGATAGCCTACACAAATACTGTGCAATCACTATATAGCCCCTGTTTGACACCCATTTTGAAGAAAAAATAAATTCTGAAATAATGATTGATGGAAGAATGTGTGATTAAAAAGTAATGGAAATTTTTGGGTTTATGTGTAGTATNTTTCCCTAATTTTTGGCATTTAGCCCCTGTTTGACGCCCATTTTGGAGAAAAAATAAATTCTGGAATAGTGATTGATGGAAGAATTTGTGGTTAAAAAGTAATGAGAATTTTATGGGTTTATGTGTAGTATTATTTTATTGATAGAATGTGTGGTTGAAATGAAGAAAGAGAAAAAGAAATGAGAATGAGAATGAGAAAAAATGGGTGTCAAACGGGGGCATAAACAGCAATTCCATTGGTTCTTTTGTAGTTGTATTGGATGCTAGATGTTGTCTCATTTATTTCCATCAATGCCTTCATGCGTTGATAAAGGGCACAGATCCAGAGAAGTTTGTTTTGAATTTTAGGCTACTGAACTGGAGGAATAAGGCCCACTATTTACATGCAGTATGTGACAGGGGTCTCCATGTTTCTTATTGAGTTTTTTTATTAGTATAAATTTTCTTGCTACGGTTTCCTTTAATTGAAAGTTTCAATCAAAAATGTGAACTGGGCTTAAGCTGGAAAAGCTCACTACTCTTTACGTGATTTATTTGACTTAATTTAGGTCCATTTCATTTGTCCATACAAAATATGCAAAGTTGCATTATTTTTATTTGGTACTTTCTTTGTTCTTTGTTCTTTTTTTCTTTTTTTTTCCACCTACTTGATGAATTTAATTTTTGATCAGAACTGTTTTGCTTAATTGAAAAATTATTTGTATGTGACGAATTAAAGATAAAAGAGAAGAGAATATAGATAGTCAATAGTTTTGTATGTATTTTATTGAAAATCAAAGACTTGTACCTATAGGTAAGAGTTAGGGTTGCATGGGTATAATTGTCATTTTCTCATATAGTAGTTAATTTACAATACTCTTCATACACATCCTATGTCTCATTAAAAACCTTGTTTGGGGAAAACTCATGGGGAAAAAGCTGCCAAACTAATAAAGGAGATCATAAGTAATTGTAAAAGAATTTGGACTATCAAGTACTGCCTTTTTAAAACCTTGTGAAGAAAATTTATTGGGATAAAACTTGGATGAAGAAAAAAGAGTACAACTATTCCTTGATTTTGATTGCCGAAGATCTTTCGGTCAATGTTTCATGTACCAATTTTTTGAATGGTGGATGTTGGCAATGTTATTATGAATAAATCATTCAAATTATATCTTAAACGAATTTGTTGAACAATTGTATCACTAGTTTTACAAAGGTCATGTATATTGTCTTCTTTGTTGTAGCCTTCAAGTAAACAACATCTTCATATAAATTGTTGTGCTATATCTTACTGAATATATGACACATTAAAATAAAGGTGCCAAGTGCAATCTGCAATACACTAATTGAACTATGATATGGTACTTCGTAGAACAATACTTATGGGGGGTTATAGGTACCATTAATGTTTCTAATGAATATTATAAATGGGGGTAGTATATAGGCGTTACAGACATTCAATTTATAATGCTTCTCCTTGGATCTTTATTTACAGAAATTATACCTTGTTAAAACCATGTAGGAAAAGTTTAGTGGGACAAACTCTAGTATAAAAAAGAGTACATTATTCTGTTAAAAATACGTCTTGGAAGGTGTCTCATTAAAAACCTTTCAAAAAAAATCAGTGGGACAGAATATTGGTCAAAGAAAGAAGAGTGCAGTATATATTACTTGAATCTTAACTTATGTGCTTTGTGAATTTTAAATCTTCAGGAATTATATTTGACTTGTATACATTTAGAGAAATTTATATAAATATCTATAATTTAAGTTAGCTATAACCATATTCACATGACATATGCAAGTTTAGTAGGTCCCAACATATAATGATATGTCAGGATTGCATGTTTTTACTTCGGCCAAATATCTTCTACGAATTTTGATGTATTAGCTTGGCTTTCATTCATAATAAAGTTCTGTAATTGTATCAAATATAGTGTTGATAAATGGTTATTTTCGATTCCATCTCTTCCCCCACAGACATAATATATTTATCTCTCTTTATTTTAACTAATTTCAGATACTCGAATCTCTCTCTCTCCCTCGTATTTTTTTTTAAAACTATTTATGTCTATGTAATCTCAAGGAGTATCTGCTTCAGTAGGATCATCTTTGACCATTTACTATATTTTTCTTTCAGGGATATTTTCTTTGTAATGGATTACCATCAAGGTTCAGGCGTGTAAACTTACCAAATGCAATGGCTAATGTTAACAGTAGGACCCTGTAATTAAGAAGATTTGAGCATTTACAGTTGGTATATGAGAT